AAAGTCATAGGAAATAAGGCACATAGGCCATAAGTGTAAACAAGGGAAAACATAAAGAGCTACACTATCTAACGGTCCACTAGCGCGCTCTCCAAAAGCTACTCATAACCTGTAAAACATAGGGATAACACCCGTCAGCGAAAGATGCTAGTAACCCACCAATACGCGTTAAGTAGCATAATATATAGATATCATAAAATCATTTGAGACAGAGGAATACAGTATATATCATTTTAAAACCAAGAGAGGGAACATCAATAGACTCATCATAACACTCTCAACAAAGACCAACCATCAACAACAATCAACAAGTCAATAAGGACAACAAGCAACATACTCAACAATAGACGCAACCTATCATAATCAAGGTAGAGTTCCCGATAGACATGCTCATAAGCAATGAATACAATAAATCACACAATGACAAATATCAAGTTCCAACCTTATGCCGTGTTCCAACCTTATGGCTACCCCCGGCCTTATTTCAGTTCCAATCGTTACCTGCTAGTGCCACCCCGTACTTCTGAGTCCAACCTTATTCCGCCAAGGACCGTCGTCCCCCGCCAGACTGCCACCAATCATTATACCGTCGAACTCTCAGTACACGAGGGTACCATTAATTATCATAGTAACATACCACCGATCTCATGAGCAAAGCTCAGTAACAATATTACCACTAATCTCATTCATAGTCACACATAGTCATCATCAAGAGGATTGAGGCTCATCAATAGCCCAATCAAGTATCAACAACGGGTACAACAAATGTACAAGGTCACATCATAGAAATCAATCAAGAGGTTTCAATGATAGACATGAAACAATACTCAACAACAACAATGGACTTCAATCCATTTTCAACATAATTGCCTCAAGGGAATGGACAAACAACACATACTAGCATCAACGACATCATATCTAGCATGGTCATCAAATGGGTAAACCAAAACAGTTCCAACGAACCTCAAAGACTTACATAAATCCAACGAATCACAAAGTTGGACTACTAGAACGATTCAAGACACCAAATCCTAACATAGATACTTAGAACATCGTTCTAGACATACGAAACATCAAGGAGACACCCAAAAGCTCAACAATCCAACAAAGGGAGGCCAAAACATCACATACCAAAGGGTGGAACCACGGGAAAACAACCCTCACCACAATTCCACACAAGTACCCCGCGGGTGGTTACCTACCCACCGGGTACCAAGTCACCTCCCGCGGGTAGGGCGGCGGGTGGACAACCGCCCGCCGCTCCGCCTGCAGGGAACACCCTGTACATACAATAATTTCCTTCGGGGAATTTCATCTCTAAGGCCAAGTTCAAGTCCAAAACACCCTAAATCTCACATACAACAAGGAAATGACTTGAACCCAAGAATAGATCAAAAGATAGCATTTAAGAGGCCTAGATACAAGCTCTAAACATGCATTATCACAAGATCATGCATCAAATCACTCACAACATCAAGAATCATCAATAGAAGTCAAGAATCATCAATAGCAAGTATAAAATAGGTTTTGTATAGCATGGGTTACCTTTGTAGACCAAAAGACTTCTCCCTTTTTCCCTCCTAAGCTTCTCCTTGAAGCTCCTCTTCAACCAAGTCTTCTTACACAACCAAAACCACAAGAAAAACACTAATCTTAGATAAAGACTAGGTAAACCTAATTAAAAACACCAACTAATCCTAGATCTTACCCTTCCTTAAGCTTGGGAGATGGAAATGTGGAATCTTGGAATGATTCCTAGCAAGGATGGAGGAGATTCTTCTTGGCTTGGAGAAGAAGCCAAGTTTTCTTAGAGAGAAGGTAGAGAAAGGTTTTCTTGCCAAAGTGGGGAAATGAGATTTAGGCTTGATAGGGTAAGGTTTCAAGACCAAGCAAGTGGGAAAAGACTATAATGCCCTTACTTTCCCTAGAAAAACTTAGGAAGACCCCAAAGAGTTAGGTACAACCATCAAAGCTAAAGGTCCCCCTTTTTTACTTAAATCAATTGACCAAGGAGTTAGTAAATTTAAGTCCTCCGACTATCAATTTGGGAAATTGATAAGAAAGTCCACAAGGATGACTTAGGATTAATTATCTAATTAATCCTATTTAAAGAGTAGGATTTTCGGGGTGTCACATAGAAGAAGCTCGAAGGATGGCTAGTATGCCTTTCAAGCATTAGTTTGACAAGAATGTTGAAGGAAATGTTTAAACAACCTTTGGGAAAAGATGGCATGTGATCTTTAGTGTGGTTTGTTGGTGGGCATAGAGATGGTGCAATGATATTGTCTTCAACAATATGGACTATGATGAGGAGCATAAGGTTAGATGGATTTCAGCCAAGAGCAAGGAGATTATTATGGATTTTCGAGGGCAGGGTGCGACAAGCCAGAGAGAAAGCGATATGCGTACACTTATATGGCAAAAGCCTGATCAAGGGATTATGTGTTTAAACGTTGATGGAAGTGTAGCTGATAGAGGAGAGGCTGGATGTGCCGGGGGGGGGGGGGAGGGGGTTTTGCGGGATCACAATGGAGAGTGGATGGGAGGCTTCATGTATGCCATCCATACGACACATGCAACCGAAGCTGAGGTTTGGGCAATCCTCATAGGTTTGGAATGGGCCTAGAACAAAGGTGTTCGGAAGTTGGTTGTTCAAAGTGACTCGCAAGAAGCTATGAAATGGATTAATGGTATCTCCATCCTGAGAGGTCTCATATGGGAGATTATTAAGAATTGTCAGATTTGGAGGGACAAAGCTTGGGATATAAAAGTGTTACATATCTTACGAGTAGGGGTGCTTAATCGGTTAACCGTTCGGTTAACCGAACCGTTTTAACCGAACCGAATTAATCGAAGTTTTTTTTTCTTTAACCGTTAACCGAACCGAAGTTTGCTCTACCAAATTCACCGAACCGAAATTTTTTTCGGTTAATCGGTCGATTACCGATTAACCGAACTTTTTAAAACTAAAATTTAAAATTCTAAAAATAACACCTAAAATAATAAATCCAATTAAAATAAAATACATATCATAATAAATTCATAACAAAATATACAAAAACATTAATTATAAACTCCAAACATCCATAACTTCAAATTATTATTTATATTTATATTATTATTATTATTATTATTATTATTATTATTATTATTATTATTATATATATATATATATATATATATATATATATTAAAAACTTCAGTTAACCGACCTTTCGAACCGAATTAACCGTTAACCGAAGTTTTAAAATTCCTTTAACCATTAACTAAACCGAAAAACTTCGGTTCTAAAACGGTTAACCGAACTTTGTCGGTTCGGTCGGTTAACCGAAAATTATCCGAAGTTTGCACACCCCTACTTACGAGAACAAAACATGGTTGCTAACGACATTGCCAAAATGACAAGGAATAATGAGGGTACGTGTAGAGACCTCAGGGAGCCTACGCCGAGAGTAAGAAGCATGCTTTAGGAAGACAGATTGAGGCGTACTTGCAAAGAACAAGAGAAAGGAACCTACTATAAGGTTCCTAGGGTGTCCTCCCCTCCATTTTGATTTATAAAATAAATAAATAAATAAATAAATAAGAAGCAATGTCGACAGCTGTACTTCCGGTAACAGCAATTTATATCGGTGTCCTCCCTAGGAGTGAGCAAACGGTCGGTCGGTTACATAACCGACCGAATAACCGAATAACCGACCGTAATTTTTGACCTTCGTAACCGACCGAAACCGACCGAAGGTGGTCCTATGACCGACCGATAACCGACCGTCGGTTTTCGGTCGGTTTCGGCCGGTTACCAAAAAACCGAATTCAAACAAGATAAATCAAATTTCAAAAGACAAAATCTAAAATACATATACATGCGTACTGTGTAGTCATTACTGCTGATGCCTAAATTCCAAATTCCTAAATCCTAAAATCTAAAATACATATACATCTGCGTACTGTTTAACAGTATATTATTTACTGATAATATATATAATAATATAATATCTACTGTATAATATATATTAACAGTATATTATTTACTGTTAATATATTATATATATATAATAGTATAATATCTACTGTTAACAGTAAATAATATAATATATATTAACAGTATTATTTACTGTTAATATATATACATATATATTTAGATATATATATATATATATATATATATATATATATATATGTCGGTTATCGGTCGGTGACCGATAACCGACTCCAATAACCGTATAATAACCGAAAAACCGAAAAACCGAAAATTTTTTAAAGGTGATAACCGTGACCGACCGATAACCGATTTTTTCGGTCGGTTCGGTTATCGGTTAGCGGTTTTCGGGCGGTTAACCGATAATTTGCTCACCCCTAGTCCTCCCCTCCATTTTGATTTATAAAATAAATAAATAAATAAATAAATAAGAAGCAATGTCGACAGCTGTACTTCCGGTAACAGCAATTTATATCGTGCACCGATGTGTGCCCAGACACAAAAAGCGTGCGTTTCTTGCTGACGTCACTCCATCCGTCCGAACAGACCAAACCTCATTATGTGTATTCAGTTAAAAGTTTATATGTATTGTGTTATGAGTTTATGTATTCAGTTAAGAGTTTATGTGTATTATGTTAACCAAACTCCATTATGTGTATTCAATTAAAAGTTTATGTGTATTGTGTTATGAGTTTATGTGTATTCAGTTAAGAGTTTGTGTATTATGTTAACCAAACTCCATTATGTGTATTCATTTAAAAGTTTATGTGTATTATGTATTATGTTAGATTATGTATATTCTGTTATGAGTTTATGTGCATTCGAAACAAATGATTTTTTTTTTAATATTTAACAAAACGACGTCATTTTGGGAGGCGCGGGGTGCACAGTGCTATGTGTCCCGTGCTTTACGGTATAACGATTGTCCGGTAACTGTCTCTGTCAAGGAAATCGAAGTCAATCCTGGGCCAGTAGGCCTAGTCATTACTCATTAGTAAATTGCAATTTAAGGATATACGAAGTGAGCAGCCAGATAGTGACTGGAGAGAGAGTGTGGTTTCTATCATGGAACTCAGCGAAAAGCCGGTGGTTCTGATTACAGGCTGTTCAAGCGGCGGTATAGGCCACGCTATGGCTCATGAGTTCGCCGTGAGGAACTGCCTGGTGGTGCCCACGGCTCGATCCCTCGCTTCAATGTCGGATTTTGAGAACGACCCACGGTTTTACCCTCAAGAACTCGACGTTCTGTCGGAGCAGTGCGTGACGCGTGTGGTCTCCGATGTTCTTCACAACTTCGGGCGGATCGATATTCTTGTCAATAACGCCGGAGTGCTGTGCGTTGGACCACTTGCCGAGGTCCCTTTGTCTAAGATTCAGCACACCTTCAACACCAACGTCTTTGGTAGCCTCTACTTCTATTGCTAAATTATTCTTCTCATTTATGTTTGGTGTTCCTGTTAATGCCATACTGAAATTTTGATTGCTAATCTGGATTGGGATAATTTTAATTTTGTTAACATTAAAGAGAGACTGAAATCTGACTAAAAAAATGTGGGGATCATATGGATTCCTTCTGCATAATATAAATGCTTCTGCATAATTCACAGAATATAAATATAGTGAATAGAAACAGGATTTATTCTCAAAAAAGAAACAGGATTTTAAACTCAATGGAATGAAATAGCCAAGTCTAAGGTCAAGACATCATCCTAAGGCATCCAAATTCAAGTCTTTGTTTGTGACATTAAGTCAAGATTAAGTGAAGAATCAAGGGACATATTCAAAGAATTGTACTCGCAATTCACAATGCAATTTGTACCAAATTTTAGTGTTTTCCACTCAAAATTTGTGTTTATTAAAGTATATGTGTGTTCAGTCTCCTTAAAACTTAGTCTATATTGAATTCAGAAACTTTGGTAAGTAATGATCCTCTAACCCTCATGCTAATTTTACATTTGTAGATAGACCAAATTCACTTTTTGTTTGATTGCCAATATGTATACATCAGGTTATGTAAAGATCAATGTACCTTGGATTTGATATAATGGCTCTGTGATGTTTATGGAGGCTATTTACATTTTCATTACATCACTTTGCTAAAGATTGCAGTATCCTTTTGGATTTTGATGTCATCAAGGTTAAAGTTAAAAGCAATGTTGTCAAAAAGTTTTTGAGAAAAAATTGATATTGTGTTGTGTTGAAATGTTTTCGGGCATTGACTTCCACGTTGAATGACTTTTTGTTTGCAAGTTACTGAAATGGGTTTTGTTCTTAGATGCTTTGCAATTATTTTTTGGATACATTATTTGCTTCCTTGCATTATTCAGTAACGTCTATTATATTATGGATAGGGACCATGAGGTTAATTCAAGCCGTGGTTCCTCACATGGCATCCAGGAAAGAAGGAAAAATTGTAAATGTTGGGAGTGTTATTGCTATGGTATCTGGAGCATGGGCAGGTGCTTACAGTTCATCTAAAGCTGCTCTACATTCACTAACGGATACCTTGAGGTAGGGGCGTTTTAACTTCTTATGTGCTTGTAAACGTGTCCTACATTTTATACAACTTTGCAAATGCTGAAAGAACGCTAAATCCAGGGTCATTACATTTCCAAATGAAGCTTTTGTAATTCAAAATGGCCAAAGAGCAATAATGATTCGTGATACATACAACAAAATTTGAAAGAGATTAGCCAACCAATGAGAGGCTTATATTTTAGGACCTCCTATGTCAATAACTTCCATCCCTGTCATTAGACCATCGGTATCACTCAGGACCTTTTTGGTAGGCTATAGTTGAAATTCTTTGCGGTTTGGTTGGAAGGGTGAAAGCTTGGTTGGGGGGCTGAAAGCTTCAAAGTATTATTAATACACATGATTTGCGAGAAGCTTGCTTGCTAATGTCTTATCCTATGCACTTCTCCTTACACTGATTCTGCACTGTCTGTTTTTGTGTTCCAGACTGGAACTTAAGCCATTGGGCATTGATGTTATCAATGTTGTTCCTGGAGCGGTGAAGTCTAACGTAGGAAACTCAGCTTTGGCCAGCTATAATCAGATGCCTGAATGGAAGTTGTACAAGAAATTCGAAGAAGCAATCCGAGCAAGAGCACACTTCTCGCAGAGTCCAAAGTCAACCCCTACAGAAGAGTTTGCGAAACGCACTGTCAATGCAGTGCTTAAGCGGAACCCTCCGGCTTGGTTCTCAAGTGGCCATTTCTCTACCATTGCAGCAATCATGTATCACTTGCCATTATTTATCAAAGACTTCATTCTCAGGAAAAGAATGATGCGTTTAAAGTGATCTTTTGGAGATAAAAGCAGAACAAAGAACTGCTAGTTGAATTTTATAATAATGCTATACTCTCTGTATTTTTTTTATTTTTTTTTGCATTTGTTCATGTTGTCTCAAAATGGGTTTATTATGGGTGTTATGTCTTGTAACAAACAATTTATTTATGAGTTTAAGGAAAACTTGTGTGGCAGATATTTCGTTATACGCTATCTTGTGACCTCTTAAAGAGTTAAGAGAGAAACATTAAGATCAAGTTAAGAGAGAAACATGAGTTTTTATTTTTTAATGTGTTTAATTCATGGGTTTAGCTATCAGGGATGGGAAGCAAAGTGATTGTTATTGTTTGGTTGACAGGTTTCTAAAACACTACTATGCGATTTGATTACCCCTTAATTCCATTATTCCTCCTTAGTTTGGATTAGTGTTTTTACTTTTTTTTTTTTTTGTTCATATTGATGCTTTGGATGTCTATATTAGAATCAATTGTCTTGATTTTTTGTTCTTGTATTTTTAAAAATTTTATTCTCATTATATAGGATAAACAACAATATTGGTAATCATTCGAATTCTATCCTACTACCAAACATGCTCATTACTATTACCAAGTATTTTATTTCCATTCTAATTTTTATTACCATGTGTGAACCAAACACAGCCTTAGAGTGCAGAGCGATCTTTTATTCTAAATTAGATATTTTTCCCACCTTATCCTGAATTTGTGTCTGTGATTTTCTTATTTTTCAAACTAGTCATCCAAATGTGTGTATGTTGAGATCACAACTCCTTCCATAAATTTGAATTCTGAATGGATCAAAAGGACACCAAAGCAGTAGTTCTGATAACAGGGTGTTCAAAGGGTGGAATTGGGCATGCTTTGGCACAAGCTTTCGCCGCCGAGAATTGCATGGTGGTGGCCACAGCTCGGTCACGATCCGCCATGTCCGACTTAGAAAATGACCCCAGGTTTCACCTGCAAGAACTGGACGTTCAGTCTGAGCAGAAAGTAAGGCGCGTGGTTTCTGAGGTTGTTGAGAAGTTTGGGCAGATTGATGTTGTGGTCAACAATGCGGGAGTGCACTGTATTGGGCCTGTAGGTGAGATCCCTTTATCTGCCATTCAAAACACTTACGATACCAACGTCTTGGGTCCGTTGAGGTTAGTTCAAGCTGTGGTTCCTCACATGGCGTCCAGGAGGAAAGGAAAGATTGTAAACGTTGGAAGTATTGTTGCCTTTGCCCCTGCACCGTTTGCAGCTGGTTACAGTTCTTCAAAAGCTGCTCTCCACGCCCTAACTGATGCCTTGAGGTACAACCATTATCATTATTGATTCTTGTAAATGTTACACGTTACTATACCATATAAATCTTTATCTTTTTACTTTCTGTTATCGTCAACGGATATAATAAAAAGCGTCCGAAGCAAGTCAATTTGGAAGACAAATTAGGACAAACCCGACTAGCCCCGAGGTTGAGCTTCAAGTGGCCAAAGACCGAGCTTAGCACTTGGCCGAGCCCAAGGCAGAACTCAGCGCTCGGCCTTGGCTACCAAGGTCAAGCTTGGTGCTCGGCCTCAGTTAGTCAGGGCTCGGCCACGAGGTGGGGTGGAGTGTGCGGACGTGGTCAACATGGTGCTAGCCGCCCACCCTTTTCACGAGGGTGGTTACATGGCAAAAATAGTATAAGGGTGTGTTTGATTCCAAATGGAATCAAAATCGGAATGAGAATCAAATACTTGATAATTAATATAAGTTTTGGTGAAAATATTTTCTTACTTGAATAATTACTGATGTTTGATTATGTATAACCCTATAATCAGAATAAATGTTTTAAAATTACAAAAATAAAAAATTAAACCAATTGATCTTAAGAGTGGTGATGAAGTGAGTAGACAATGAATGTATTGAAAAAGTCGATAAAATGAGAAGAGATGAGTGAGCAGGCGACCAAATGACGAGGCGATTTTAAATTAGACAATGAGTTTGTAATTATATGAGTAATCAAATCTTATATCTATGTTTTAAAAAGTTATCAACCAACCAATGTGTATAACTTTCATTCCCATTCCTTGTGTCTAACCCCATGAAACAAACACACCCTAAATCCCTTCTTTTAACTCGTTAGGACATCACAATATATCTTATAATCACATTATATAAGTCATTAATACAAAGCTTATTTTCCTACCTCAATTATCTTCTCTTTGCCATACATTCTTTAATTATTGATCTGATTAATTCGGGTCACCCAAATTAATTTATTTTGTCAATTGTTATTGATTCTTGTACTCGTTAATCTCAACACTTTGATTCACAAAGACATTGGTTACGTTGTATGCAGACTGGAACTCCGGCCATTTGGGATCGATGTCATAAATGTTGTCCCCGGACTTGTGAAGTCCAACATAGGAAACTCCGCTATTGCCAGCTGCAACAACAATGGGGTGTCGCAATGGAAGTTGTACCAGCAATTTGAAGAAGCAATCCAAGCGAGAGCACGCTTCTCGCAAAGTACAGCAAGGTCAACCCCTACAGAAGAGTTTGCAAAGAGGACGGTGAATGTAGTGCTGAAGAAGAAGCCGCCGCCATGGTTCTCTGCTGGTCATCTCTCTATGGCTGCATCTCTTCTCCATCACCTCCCACTGTTTGTTAAGGATTTTATCGCCAGGAAAGGAATGGAGGGTTGATTATATTGCACTCCAATATAATGAAATGAACTACTATTCCCTCGAACTTTATTTCGATCTACTTCTTATTTTGGTGTGCATTTTATATTGGAATAAATTTTGTGTGTAATTACGTGAGATACGTAATACTTTTGGGTGAAAGTATATGACATGATATTTTAACTAAAAAATATTAAGTTTTTCACACAAGACTTATCATATATTTATCTTATTGCACTCAAATAAGTAAACTTTATTTTGATGTATTTTTTTTTTTTAATGCTACTAGCTCTATTACAATGTAGTATTTGATACTACACTCTCTGAACCTACTACTAAAACACAAGGAGCTAATAACGCTTCCACTGAAACTCGAACTCACAACCTTCCAAATGAAAATCCAACCCGGGTACCATTGGACCACATAGGCCTGGTTTAATATACTTTTTATATTAGTTATGTAACATTTCTATATTTGGTTGAAGTTATATAACTTTCTCATGGAATTAAATGTTAGAAAAATTAGATATGTGAATTGGCTGATAAAAAGAGAAGTGAGGAAACGAGATCTTCAGGCGTGTAAATCACTTTCCTATAAGCTTTAAATCTCCCTCATATAAAAAAACGAGGTTCAAGATTTAATCTTGTGGGATACAAGAAGATGAATAAAATTATTAAGTTGTTTTGTAGAACTGTGAAATATCTCAGTGTATTACAATTTTATTGCATATACTTCTTTCAGGTGCTTCTCCAAATATTTATAGATTCAAAATATAACTGTTTGGACAAGTTACATGTAAGTTACTGCAGTTTAAAAACTCAACTTCCAAAAAATATATCTTAAATAATATATCAGGCATGAAAAATATAATTACATAAACCATATATTCGTAGTTGGTGCACTGCATACGAATTTATTAAGTAATATATATATATATATATATATATATATATATATATATATATATATATATATATATATATGACGGTAATAATGTTACGGAAATATAATATTAGAATAACGTTACGTGAAAGAGAGAGTAACAATCTCCTCGGGGAATTCTACCATTCCCATCTCCTCAGCTTGCTTTAGAATGACACTGACGGGATGGGTAAGAGGAGTTAGATTACGCAAGGGAACCAGGCGAGGTCGTTCGTGGTCTCGGCCTTTCCCTGCGGTCGGGTGGTTCGAGAGTGGTGCCTGGCTGGGCGGACCCGCTTTCCCAGGCTTCCCACCTTTTCTTCCATCCTCTTCGTCCTTCTTCTTCCTGTCGACGTCCTCTGCTTCGGCATAGCGGCTAGCCGTCCTTATCAGATCTTCGTAAGAGCGGGGGTGGTGGGCGTTCAACTGCTTGTGGAAATACCCTGATCTTAAGGCATGGATAAATATCGGGATCGCCGCCTTGGAGTCGAAGTCGTAGACATTATTGACTTCCTTTTTCCATTTTATCAGGAAGTCTTTGAGGCTCTCGCCTCTATCTTGCTTCACTACACAGAGGTGAGAGAACACTACAAGAAAAATCACGAATCGCGACGGAAACATCGCGACGGAATGTAATCCGTTGTCGATTTGCGATGATTTTTGCTACGGAATGTGTTCCGTCACGATTTTGCGTCGGAAATGGTGACGGAATTCAGTTCTGTAGGGATTTTTGGCGCAAAGTGAGAAAAAAACCTGGGAAATTTTGGCGCCCATATTTTGATGACGGATTTTGCGACAGAATTAAGTTCTGTCACCACAACGGCGACAGAAAAGGCAACGACCGATGGTTCCATCGTTGTTTTGCGACAAAATCGGCGACAATAATCAATTCTGTTGCGATATTTTGGGCAAAGTGGAAAATATTCTCACGTAATCTATGCACCAAGGAATTGACGACAGAAGCTAACGACGGAAATTGCGATGATTTTTTTTTTGTCGCGAAAATAATTAAAATTTGAATTAAAGTTTATTTTTGCTACAAAAAGGGACGGCAAAATCAATTCCGTCGCCAATATGTTGACACATTGGCGACAGAAAATACGACACCTACATGTTTGTCGCGCTATGGCGATGAAATCGACAACAGAAATTAATTTGTTGCAATGTTTGGCTCAAAGATAGATTTGACGTTTGAGGTTGGCGACGGAACTTGCGACGATTGTTCTTTCCGTCACTAAAATATTTAATTTTTTAAGTAAATTTTATTTTTGCTATAGAATGAGATGACGAAATCGATTCTGTCGCCAATATGTTAATACATTGGCTGTAGAAAATCCACGCCCCATATGTGTGTCGTGCTATGGCGATGGAATCAGCAAATAAAATTAATTTTGTTGCGATGTTTGGTGCAAAGATAGATTTAAAGTTTGAGGTTAGTGACGGAACTTGCGAAGATTGTTCTTTCCGTCACTAAAATATTTATTTATGCTTTAAAGTAAAGTTTATTTTTCCTACAGAATGAGACAACGGAATCGATTCAGTCGCCAATATGTTAACACATTGGCGACAGAAAAAGCGACACCCCACATTTCCGTCGTGTTACGGCGATGGAGTCAACAACGAAAATTAATTTTGTTGCGATGTTTGATTGCGCAAAGATATATTTGACTTATGAGTTTGGCGACGGAACATGCGACAGTCGTTTTTTCCGTCGCAAGAATATTTAATTTTTTTAAGTAAAATTTATAACTTTTTTATGGTCGAATTTTGCACTTAGACTTGGTATTACAATTTACAAGTAGTAAATTTTCAAAATTTAATTTAAAATTGAAATTGCATATGTAAAAATGAAATATGAAGTTTATTTATTTATAAAATTTTTTGTTTAATAATTATATTGATTTGCTAAGATAAAGTTACGGACATAAATATTTGAAATTACAATAAGAATTGATATTTAAAATGGGTAATTATTAAAAGTAATAAAATATATTAAATCATTAAAACAATGTATTTAAAATTTCAAAATTTTAAGAATTCCTTAGTAAATTAAGTTGGTAGTTAAATTACAATTTGTGAAGTCATCACAAAATAAAAATTTGAGACTCTTTTTGGCAAAATATATAAAATAATTATATAACTGAAATTTAATTTGATCTAGCAAAATAATTATACTCGGACAATGAATTCATATGCTATAACTAAATTGCATAACTCTTTTGTCACTACTCCCTCCATCCTATTTTACTTGTCTTACTTTCCTTTTTAATTTGTCACGAAATAGTGTCTTCTTCCCAAAATTGAACATAACTATTATTTTACATTTTCCAATTTGTCATTTTGACTTGTTCAAATTTCTTGACAATTAATGAGACAAGTACAATTGTACTTTGTACAAATGACACCAACTTTTAAACGGCAAAATTAAAAAATTAGAAACATTTATTTTGTTGCATTAAAAACCATGCAAAAAAATAAATGTTACAAGATATTATGGACATGTGGATTATTTCACAACATCAGTAAATTTATTACAGTAATTTCACTTTTAACAAATATTAAGTTGAATTTTACTGTCTAATCAATACTGCATTAAGAAGATTTAAATTATTTTAATATGAAAAATTGTTAGGATCGGATGTCATTTTTATTATCAATTATAACTATGTACAACAATAATCATCTTTACTACTAGTTTTTACTACAAGTTTAAAAAATTCTTTTTGATTATATCGAAAATAATCATTTTTATTTTATATTAATTATTTAACATTTAAAAATTATTCTAAACATTTACATATTTTAACTTGTGTGTTGGATATCAATTTTAACGCACAATATATCCATGATAACAATATATATAATCGTGCAAAGGGAACCGTCATAGTAGGGTTTTTAAAATTATTTTAAATATATATACATATAATATGTTGGGTTTTGTAACCCACCGTATTATTATTATTATTATTATTATTATTATTATTATTATTATTATTCTTATTATTATTATTATTATTATTATTATTATTATTATTATTATTTAACAAAACTTAAAATAATAAACCTGCGACGTCGGTTCCATAGAGAACCCACATCTTAGGTTTAATTTTAAAAAAAAAAAACAACGTTGTATGATTAAGATAAAATATAATATATTTTTTAAAAATTTATATACATATGTGTTTAAAAAAAAAAACAACTTATTATTATATACATATGTGTTTTTTAAAAAAATTATCATAAGGCATACATATAAGTTATTTTTTTTTTCAAAATATTTATTTATATATTTTTATATATGTTTTTATTGAATTTTAATAAGGTATATAACGTTGGTTTTTAAAATGATTTGATTTTATATTTTATTTTATTTTATATATATATATATATATATATATATATATATATATATTTCTTATTTTATTTTTATTATATGGTATATAACATAGGTTAAAAAACATAAATCTTATATATTGTATAACATCATTTTATTATTCGAATTGATTAGAATTGATTTTATAACTTCATTTATATATATTAAAAAATTCCCTCCAAACTTAAATCCAAAACTTTTCAAAAATCTTACAGTTTCTCCGAGACCTAAACTTAAGCCAAAACCCTCTTCATTGATCGCCACAGGAACCCAAGTTGCCGCAGTCGTCGCTACTTGTCAATGCCTTCGTCACCATCAGCCGCCTTCCCCGTGAGCCGTCAGCCGCTGCGTAGAGTCTCTGGTCATCTTCTCCGATCGCCTCCGAGAAGGCCTTTGTAGAGTCTCCCCAGATCTGAACAGGTTCCCTCGTCCTCCTCTCATTTCTCTGTTTATTTTGTTTTCTTTTAGGTTTCTCTCTCGTCTGTGCTATTCTGGTGTATTATGTCGGCCGTCCAATGGCCATGAATTTCTGCCGGCGTGGTCAGAATGTGCCGTCGTTTGTCGTCGTCTCTCTGTTGCTTGTTGAGAAAATTAATTTGTTTGTGTAATAGGAGAATTACACTGCCGTCCCAAAAAAATTAATTGTTTAATCTGTTAGTGTAAATGTGTAATAGGTGTCTACTCCTATATCTATTTGTATTGTAACCAGAACTGGAATGTGTAATGGGAATGTATATATATCGTTTTGTCAATGTTGCATTCTGAAGGTTTTATATGGATATCTCAGGTTCAGGTAGTTACTATATAGCTTTGTTTAAGAGTTGATTATATATATATATATATATATATATATATATATATATATATATATTCCTCATGAATGCTTGAAATTGATTATGATTGCTACTGCAGATTGCACAACATAGTTTGTACGTTCTGCATGTCTTTGCATGATTGATATTGATTTACAAGGAAAAGTATAATTCTAATTCTCCATTTGTAGCATCTATCATATCTTACAAATCCTCACTCAAAGCATATATAGATAATATATTTAAAATTTTCTTCTTAATTGCATGTAGGCTGCAAACCTCTGATTTCAGCTTCCTTTCCATGCCATCTTATGATCAGACTGCAT